TTCCCTTAGGATTACTCAGGATTTGGGTCTTTGTTTGTCTGAGTCTCGAGGGGGGTCTGAAATTTCATGATGTCATTAGTGCAGAGCGCTATTGAACGGTGAAGAAATAGGGGGCCTTTTATATCTTGGAAAACAAATACTACTTTCATTTTTTTGACTGGACATAGATGGTGTATGACTAAGCTAAATAGTGTTATGTTGGTCAGTGCAACCAAGTCGAAAGCAGGTGCCTAATAATATCTGCTAGAGTACAACCTCGACTATTGACTAACACATACCATTCTTGTCACGCTGGATACCACAGTACTTTAAAAATCCATGAATATCTGTGGGCACTGCAGGATGCTCTTCATCCAGGTATTGCAGAGGCTCACTGCAGAAAGCCGTTCCAGGTTGAGTGGAATTTGGACATACATTTGGGTAGTTCAACAGAGGAAGCCCACAGATAAAGTTCTGTTGGTGACACAAAAAGACTTTAAGGTCTTAAACAATTTGACTACATATACCATGTACTGCAGATTTTCATCATTAAAATATTCATAACGCTGACAAGCTAGCAGTCAACAAAATCTAGAATTTAACTGCCTGAAAATTAATACTAACTTACGAATATTGCAATTTCTTAGTATACCAAAAAGAATAATAATGCAGACATGTTCAGGTGATCATAAACAAAAGAATTGTAATTAGCTTATCTTGGTCGTCATGTCTAACATTGTTTGTAATTTGCATATTGCAGGAATGAAAAAACCAGTACTTACTGATCGAAAACAAAGACTAAATTGAGACAATTTAATTGATTACTTACCTTTCTTTGCATTATGCAATGAGAAAACATGAGTTTCCACTGTCCATCTACAACCCATAATCACCCACAACCTGCATCATTTAATAGAAGAAAAAAAACTAAATTAGTATGGAAACATGTACACTTTACATGTAAGTAAGAAATTTAGGGGTGGGGGAGTAAGACCACTAACCCAGTAAAAGAAAAGTGTCACCAAAAGCATTTCAGACTCATCAGGAAAAAATTTAAAATAAATAATTTATTTAAATTTTGTGAGCTGCACTACAAAGAGAAAAAGAAATAATTTTCTTACCATGACTTTCTCACGATCATCATTTTTCTTCATCAAGCCAAAGAAGTCAAGGTTTCCAAGCTCTCTTACCTCAGATTCCAGCTCACCATTCCAGAATGCTGAAACACACTGTTTTTTCTCCATATCCTAAGAAAAATTACAATTCATCAGTACCAAAAGAGAGGAGGGGTTCAAATCAAATAACACTCTAAGGGAGGAATGTAAATATTTCCTGGAACACATAACCAACATCTAAAAGAAAATCAGTTTTGGTGTAAAACTCAAAAAAAAAATTGAATTGATGTTAACAAATTATGATAACAGTCCAAATACATGTACAGCGGTACCTCCATCTCCTGAGAGCAAGTCAAACACTTCATTGTACGCAGTAGAAAAACCTGAAAAACTAACCCAGCCATGGTTACTAGAATTAAGGAAACAGATGCCAACAATAAGAAAAGATGAACTGAAGACTTCATTTGCTGAAAACGATAATTTAACATGCAAAATAACTTACAGACATAGACTTAGGGCCTGTTTACATGGAGGCAGGGTGCCCAGGCTAACCGAGTTACCCAGCTAACCGAGCTACCCTAGGAGAGCCAACTTTTCACACATTTCTTTAGAAAATGCATTAAAGCATTTACATGCTGAACAGGGTAACCCACCTTCCAGGGGCACCCAGGCTATCTTTTTGCCATGTAAACAGTTCGTACTGGGTTACCTGGCTAGCTGAGGTGGGAAGACCGCAAAAAACTAGCGGCACAAAATTACCATCCTGAGCAATTGTTTCATCGTTATCACTTTGCTTTAATGTTAACTGCCTCTGGTGACTTCTATCAACTACTAGAGTGCAAAATAATAGCCCTAGACACTGAAAAGTGAAGGCTAGCAGAATGAGTGATAAAAAATGAACTTGCTGCCAAAACTTTCCTTTTGTGCGCCATCTTGTTTGTTGTGCTGAGTGGCCGCTCAAATAATAGCCTGCTGACTAACCTGCTTAGGTGAGTTGTAAAGGCGGGCTATGTTTTAACCCTCCTAGCCAGGTAGCCCAGTTAGCCGGGGCACCCTGCCTCCATGTAAACTGGCCCTTACGTTCAGTTTGAATCAAAAAACAAAGACACTTAACATACTAATTTTCATAGAAAACTGTCAATTGACTATATGAATCAATTAACTAAATGGACTTTTGGCACTCATGCTAAGGCACACTGAAGGTCAAGAAGCTTCTGCTCTATGAAGCAGACCTCGCTGGCCTCCACTAAAGATCTGATACCTTCATACAGGCACCAACCTCTAGTCTTATTGCCATATCGATCATAGTTGTAATTAATTTTGCATTGATCGCAACACAGTGAGAACTTTAGGCCTGACGCCTTTCTAAGCAGACCCTAAATGACAACATCACAGGCCCTATTGTGTTCTGTCAAAGTGCGGCTGCACACTAAACAGGTACCAACCGGCAGAGACAACAGAATAGGGAAGCTGACTGATGAAACGACAACTCTGTTCTGATAACTGTGTGGTGAGCTAGCCTTCTCAATCATGGAACGTGCTTCATAAAGGACAGAGGCCTAGATGAATACTGTAAATCCTGGAATTAGCGCCCACTTGAATAAGCGTCCCCTTCAAATAAATGCCCCTCCTATCAGTCAAAATTTCAAATAAGCGTCCCCCTCCCCTCCCCTCCCCCCCCATTTCGTGGAGGAATAATAAGATAACAAAGGATGTATAGTTTTCGTTGTGTAGTATTAGATTTGTGCATTGTTTAAGTTTTAGAAAAAAACTTACAAGCACTAATGGTGCCATGATTTAAACGTTAGGATCAGCTTTTTATGTCGATAAACAGCTAATGTTGCTGTTAATGCAGATATGACGTATTAAAAATGATCATGTCAGGCCATGATGTGGGAAAAATTCAATAAGCACCCCCTCGATTAAGTGCCCCCTCGAATAAGAGGCCATTTACATGGAGGAGGGTGCCTCGGGGGGATAGGGGCACCCTATGTAGTAGGGTTTCCCTTCTCTTTTGTTTTATGCG